GGAGCTTGTTTTTACGCCCAAAATTGTCAATCAACTCGGGATTGTTGCGTACAGTCGGAAAAACACGCAAGAACCAGGACTACTGGATCATACTCTAGCTGATTTACATACACAAAAGTTGTCACCACCTCGGCCACTTTGCCGGCATCAGTTTTACCCACTTACATGCTTGTATGAAAAGCACAAGTCAGCCGACCAAATCATGCAATTCCTCATTAAGATCACAAAGTGAGGAGGTATAAGAAGCAAGTAGGATCTTGGTTTAGTGTTTTTTTGCTGATTTTCGTGAATAATGCTTTCCGGCTCTGACGATGTCGGTCACAGGACGGACACAGTTCAGCACGCAGTCATCGAGGTCGTAAGACAATGGGCCGAGGTCTTCTTCACACAATTCAACAGACAAAAGTCCAAGACAACCCTCCTGTGGTATCCAGTGCGGCCAATGCACGAATCCCTTCGACCCTCCTTCTCAGACGAAATGAAAGATACGCAAGTATGAAAATCTGATCTACTTGCCCTTCCTTGGCGATGCTTCTGATGCCATGCCAAATGAGTGCAAATCGGTATCATCCAGTTTTCTAATAACTACAAAATCTCCTAGTACTGGCTGAAAGGCAACTCAGTCTATGGACACAAGTGTTTCGCTGATGAAGTGATGGGTGGTGCATAATGTGACTAATTAAGATGAAAATGTGTAGACAAAAGGCGAAGTAATATTAAAATAAACATGACACATGAGAATGACTGAGTTTCCAATGTGGTGTTACGGACTCGAAAAGGCCCGTGGTTTTTTTTGAAAATTTTCAACAAGAGCTTGGGTGAATATGGCTAAAAAACTCTACCAATAAAGCATGCAACGGGTGCCCACGAAACTTGAGCAATTCAACATTATCTACAAAATTACCTCCCAAAAAATAACTTATTTACTATTCTTCGTATCTCGTCTATAATATTTTAGCTCATTCATGAAATTATGATCTTAACTTTCATTTTGTCTTGTATCTACTGAGCTTCTGTGCTAGCTTATTAATTGGTTAAATTTGTTTATCCGCTTAGAGGTATTTTGCGATAAGTTAGTTTATCTAATTACTGTACCATGCTTCACACGCAAAGAAGCTAAAGAGAATTTCCCAGTGAGCAAAGGAATGAAACAACAGCGTAAATGAGCTAAACCAAGCTTTATGTTCAGTACTTCAATGTCTGAATATAGAGCGAAAAGAAAGATGTAGTAAAATGTATAAGATTTAACAAAATTAAAAAATAAACCGGAGTATTTAAGCGACCAAAAGAGTTTTAGATCCGAAAATAAACTATTTTTTATTGGATTCCACTCAAATTTGTAATACTGCACTTCAATGGATCAAAGGAGCTCAGTTTCAATTAGCAGCTTTAACCATAGGCTGATTAATAATGTAAGTTATGAGATCAGGTGAAACCTACTCTATAGTTGATCTAAAGTGCTTATTTACAGCACAACTTTGCGACAATACATATTATTTCTGCTTCTATCAAGATGTATGGTATTTTGTGAGGCTAAGTGAACTTCAATGGCATCCGAATACATATTCATCTGATTGCGGGAAAATCCATCAATAGACTAAGCTCTTATTAAAGGCGTGTTTCCTCCAAATCCAGTAACAGCCCTTCGAGGACAATACTCAAAGGCTGAAAATTGATGTATGGTTAAATCGAGAACATTCTGGAGATATCTAAGAGCTGAGGTCTGGAGTTATTGTTTCTATAGTCCATACTTTAGAGTCATAGGACATGGCATGACGAACGAAAGCTCAGCCCGTCTTCGCCCGAGACATTGGAGGAAGTCTTGGGGACAGCTTCAATCTGAACTTCGTATTATTGACAAACGGCTGCAGTACTATGCAAAACAGCCGACATCTTCTGGTGAGATTGGCCTACGAATATCTTTATCAGGTACTTTCATACGAAATGAAAGTCTTCACATCAATCTTATCTCAGGAGGTTCTTTGAAACACACATTTTTTTCAAATATTTTCATTTTTGCCTAAAGGATAAGCATCCTCAAGTAATATATACTAAAAGTTGTTCACCTTGCTTTCACAACTTGGTCGTATTTTCAGGAAGACCTAGAGGAACGCACCTGGTCCAGAGTCCATACTATACATGATAATTTCCAGAGTTAAGCCATGGACTTAGTACGTTACCAGACGTTTCGCTGACATCGTAGTCGGTATCAGAAGTTAATCTTGCTCTTCTTTGCATTACACTACAACTCATCAAAGAGACAAGTGAATTCACTCCTTTGACCAATTGTCTGCTAAACAGTTGTAGTAGATTCGCTTCTGTCCTGGTCTATACACCTTTCCTATATCCTCGTATCACCCCTTCAATATCACACTTTGTTACTTGCTTATTTAAATCTGCTCTTCGTGTGTCCATTTGAGCGGATTAAATGGGACCGATTCCCACTCGACGCTGTCTTCCTCATTCCACTTGTGCTGGGAATGTTGATCTGAGTTTGCCCTATCATTACGCAATCCTCTTCCTCTAAGTCCCATTAGAATTCAAGCAAAAACTGGGTTTATATGAATTCCATTGTAACATATTGTGACATTACTTTCCATTTAGAAAGAAAAATTGGTTGGAAGGAAGCTGTGATGTGGTGGATTTCAGTGTAGGGAAGACTGTTGAATTTTGCAAATAAGTCCTCGGCTCACCGTCCTTTGACCCCGATAAAACTGTACTGTGATAGACATCATTTCAGCAGGAATCTATACATGACGAACCAAAGCAAAACTATACTAAATCATAAGAAAAGGTGCCCTGCTGTAACCTTAGTTGCTATTTATACACCTAACTTCGTATAATTTACAATTAAACATAAACTAACCACTTTTTATTTATAATTTAGTAAACCTCATGACAGATTCTGCTTTTTACTTCTTGCTTATTCTATGGGTG